TCAATATCAAAATATAGAATTTTGAAAAAAAATCAAAAGTTAAAAATCAAATTGATCTATATCAATAGCTCTATACCACTTCTAACTTATGTATACCAAATTTCAAAATTACAGAAAATTCACATTATTTTTCGGTTTTATGGAATCATACACCTAATTATATATAATTTTCTGTAAACCTAACTACTGCTATATATCCCAATGCGATGAGCTTAAACCAATATCATTAAACTGTTTTTAAGGCAATGAATATTTGCATAATTTGAGTTGCCGGTGTTAAATGAAACTATGATATATTCATTGTAAATTTCAACATGTATGTAATTAAGCATGTAATTATTCATTTAAAATATCCTTGCAAAATTAGGATAATATCTACAGATAGATTTCAAATACTGATTCCATCGTAATAACATAAAAACAGCACAAATCCATAATTTAAATAAATTGGATAATTAATTTTTTAACCATAATAATTTATGATTATATCGATTATTTATACTCTATGGAATATTTTTTTAATAATAACATTGAAAAGTTACGTTTAATAAATTGAAAAGAAAATCATATAAAAGAACGTAATACAGCACAATATAAATTATATTTTAATCATTTTATATTTATTTGTATTTTGTCATTTAGTAGAGCAATATAATTATATTTAGGCATTTATAAATATGAAGTTCAACCATATATTATAAAACTATAAATAAAGTTTCTGGATAATTTGATTTAATTAAATATTATTGAATTGAAAATATATTTTACTCTAGAATAATGAAAAATGCTACCAGTAATAGAAAAATGATTGTTTTAAGAGTATCAATGCTATTAAATTAAAGATTTCAAATGTTTATGAAACTATTATAACCATTACTTCCAAAAATTAATAAAAAGAAGGAGTTTTGAAGTGACAAGATATGATATTAAATACTATATTAAAATATTATATAGTTATTATTATAGGATGTGCGATTTACATTTGAGATCGATCACAACTATATAAAAAAGTAAACTTCAAGTAATAATTTCAGAAAAAGAAAATAAAATTAAACTAATATAATAATATAATAATATAATAATATAATAAATAATCAATCACAACCATATAAGAAAATTAAACCTAATTTTACAATTAATTAAACTATTAATAATTTCAGAAAAAGCATAAAAAGCCCATGGAGTTAATATAAAGAAAATATATATATATATATATATACATATATATATATATATATATATATATATATGATGAAAAGTAATGTATTCGTAGTTTCATAATTATAAGCAGATTGCTGAAGTTTATATAAAATTGATTGCAGGTAAAATATTTGCAGAAAATAAAATGAAAATGATTCTGTTATGCCAATAAAATTTAAAATTTTTGTAATAAAATGCTACTTATACACAAATAAGTAAGTTGCATAAAATTTCTACCTAACTAAAAATTAAATAAACTTGATATGATTTCTGCGACAATCAATGTAATATAATATCCATAGAGAAATACAGAATTTGCTATTCTCCATTTACAACGACAGTCGGAAAACAAAATTTGGAATCAATTAACTATCCCGATTTGTTTGCCAAGTAAACTCGACGTCTGGCGTTTTGACATTATTTGAATTTGTCAAACATCGGTTTTAGTTTCAGATTCGCGTTATTTCTACCCAAAACCGCAGGCTGGGCCATGTTGTCAAGCGATATTCAATTTTCGAGCGAAAAAAATGTCGAAAAATAAAATAATACGACACGCCGAAATGACGGAAATGCATGTCTAAAATTGATTGATGGAAAATTTGCTGGGAGGTGATTTCAGGGTGGATACGCAAAGAATGGTGTGATTTGACACATCACATACTGTTTTTATGATAGTTGGAAAATTACACGGAAAAAATTCACGGAACGATAAAAATAAAAACAAAACGCATATATTCAAGACTAACCTCGTTAGTTCGATTTCAGACATTATTTATCTATATGATATTATACTTATATATTTACCAGAATGTTACCGAAACGTCAAGGATGTTTTCTCCTTTTTGTCTGAAGAAATAGCTTTCTGAAATTCTGACGAACATAGTTTTTATTCATAAGTTTGATCATCAATCATTAAATTAATTGTATTTAAAATAAAAGAGAATAAATTCAAGTACAACGCCTTGTGATGCAGCCTCTTTTAAAGTTGTGATTGTATAAAAAAGGAACTAGCTGTAAGTGGAATTCTGTCTTAAGGCAATTAAGGCATCGTGCCTTAAGGCAAATTGCTGGAACTTCCCGTACCAAAAATTATTATTTAAAAACGATTAACATTTTTGAAAAAATTTTTCTTCGAAAAAATTAGAGAGAACTATAAATTTGACAAAAAATTACTTTTTTTGAAAAAAAAAATTTTTTTTGAAAACAAAATTTTTTTAAAAATAAAATGTTTTTTTCATTTTGACATACTTTGGAAATTCTGAACTGTTTTTCAAAGCAATCGTACTGCTTTATCTGCATAGAGACAAAATGTCAAAGCGCGCAACTGCCGCGCCGCCGTCTAACGGATAAGCATTGGTACGGAACCCATAAAAATGTAAAAAAAAATTTTACTTATTGTTAAAATCTTTATAAAATATTTGATAATTTGATGTGCATATGTCGAATGATCATTTTTGTCCGCCAAATGGCATTTTTTTTTACTTTTATCATTAGATCTCCGAAACCGCTAGACCTGCCTTCATGAAAATTCGATCAATTCTTCATCTTGTCAATACAAGTAAAATGTTTTTTGAATTATTGAAATCGGACGCTCCGTTCACTTAAAAACTGAGTTACCGTTTTCGGCACTTTTTGCCCTGTATCTTTGGAACGGCTGGACCTGCCTTCGCCAAAAACTAATCAGCACGTCTCCTTATCAATACGAATCGAATGCTTTTTGAATTATTCAAATCGGTTGATCCGTGTTCCCGAAATCGTCGACGAAAATTTGTATCCGCACATACATACACACACGCACATACATACATACATACATACATACACACACACACACACACACACACATATATATCCATTTTTTCTAAGGTATGCCAAAATGTTCAGAAACCTCTGAAACGTAAAGATATATAAAAATTTTCATTTTCGATTTTTTTGCGATTACTATAACTTGCCCTACGGGAAGTTAAAAATATACCTAAAATAGGTTATACAGATTTATTATTTCATTCCATTGTCATTCAATTGATCTATGCAATCTATGCCAAGGTTGACCTTCAAGATAACTATTTTTATGTTGAATCAGCAAAAATTTTATACTAGTGTAATAATCTCTTTCTGTATTTCATTGATGGAAGTAGTTTCCGGAAATTCTGATGAACATATAAACGTTTAAATTTTCTAAGTTGTTTAAAAACTTGTGTACACCAATTTAGAAGACTTTAATGATGAAAAATCAATTGCTTATGGTTATGTTAGACATCGTGATTATGGTTTGTCGTCTTTTTAAAATCGGTTTTTGAAAACCGGTTTTACTGTTATAAAAATGTTTACACACTTATATATGAAAATTATGCATAAACAACGAATAAGTAGTCGTACTTAGAGTTATTTAATCCTCGTTAATTAACCTTTTTTGTTTTACTAAATTGCATAACAAAATTCATAATCAATCAAATTTAACAGTAAATAATTTTAGTCCAAAACAGCTTCTAATCACTGGCAATTTTCTGTTAATTTTTGTTGTTCGAAATATTCTAACACGGAGTTATAATTTTTTTCAGTGTTAAATTGTCCTTAGCAAGTTGGAAAACCTTCAAGATTTCCTTTAATTATAAGCCGTCAATAATCTATTTATAATACGTGATTGCCGTAATTTCACGTCGATAATCTATTTATAATACATGATACTTTAATACTTCAAAATATATTAAATGTTGTACAACTAAAACGATCACTCTAAATTTAAGTAATTTATAAATATTAATAATATCATTTATTTTTTGAAAACAAAGCGTTAGTGAAATATATTTAAGTCCTTAGGGTTTTTCCGCTAAAACGTATAATCATCAAAAATAATCCTGACAGAAAACAAATATATAAATTTTACTAGGTTAATAAGTTTGCCTTTAATAAGAAAGCAAAATATTTTCTGTAATTTTTTGTAAGATAAAACTTTTGTCGGTTTAATGAAATTTGATGGTCTTGACAAGTTTTATAATTAGATATTGATTATTAATTATGGGTTAAAAAATTTAACTGTTAACCGTTTAAGTTCAATTTGAATTGATAAATATAGTATAATATTGATGATTAACTCACCATAGGATAAGTTATTGTAATCGTTCAGGAATCAATTTGAAATTTTTTGTATACTTTAAATAACTTTAACTTACAATTCAGTTTATATAATTCTTAAAAATTTTATGCAATGTCCTTCATTTTAAATCCGATTGAGGTTTTGTTTATTTACTTTTCTGTAAACAGTTTATTAGCTCTTATATTTTGTCTATAAAATAAGAATGATGAAAGTTACAGTATCTATAATAATCTATTTGAAAACACTTAATATTCCTCGAATATTTCGTTACGGTAAGGCACGATGCCATACACCACTAGTTTAGCTTTGTTACCAAAGTTTTTTTTAACATTCATATATTATTTGATCATGCACATAAGGCTTCATGTAGAGTGCAACAATGTAGATACATATCCTATAAAAATATTCTTGGTTTAATCAAATCTTATATGCAGTTTTAACTCATCCTAGGATAAGAAAGCTTTCCATCTTGAACATGTAGTATGTATTAGTAATATCCACAAATTGCATTTATTAAAACATTAATTAATATAAAACAATATTTATTCTAAAATTCACAAAATTTATTCATTACTTTTCTGTTATTAATTAAAAATATTTATATAATAATAATTATTGCATTTAATTACCGCGGCTACAGCAACGCTACACTGGGAATGACAGCATATAAAATTATTTTGCACAATTTACGTGATTATAAAAAAATATTAAGTATTACTTTTTTTCAATTTAAACTGAAAAAGTTAACAGTAATTTCAACATTTTGCTCGTATTACGTCCGTAATTTACTTTTTCTCGATTATTTTCTTAGGATGTATCGGATGATTCAAGTGTCCGAGATCCGGCGGGTTGGCATTAAATTGTCTAACTTCTTGCATGCCCGCATCGGCGATCGCCCAAAGCTGAGGCTGCTCTTTCTTGAAAGTAGCGTACCAAGCCGATACCTTTATCAGAATTATTGAATTTTTCAATTTTCAGATAAAAATATAATAGATAAGTTAATAGATCGATGAAAATGTTTAATGAAAGGCAATGAAAATATGAAACGAACTACTACATTCAATTAGTAAGGATGATGATGATATGTTAAACTACCAAGTGCTGGCAAATATTCTTGTTAAGCAAATTTGTTCCATGCATGTTCTATAAATTTTGAATGAGTCAAATTAAGGGACCGATACTGCCGCACAACAGACCAACGTTATGGCAAGGCTATGTTATGAAGTTTTTTCCATACAAATTCGTTCTAAATATTGACAAAAGCCATGTGGTTGCTGTGCAGGCAGGCGATTTCCTCATGTTGTCAGATAGAAAACATAACCTATAAACCGCAAAACAAATGTCAAAAAATAACTATGGTATATAGCAGGGTCTTTCTGACTCATGGTCATAACATAGGAATTGCAGTTAATGTGTAAAATGGCTAAATTCACAGCAAATAAATGACATTTTGACAGTATTCATTATGATTCAGTAGCATCGACAACATTCGAGTGGAAAGGGTTGAATGTAATTTTGGTATTATATCAATTTGAAAATTATTTTGCAACCAAACTATATTGAAACATGCTCAGATCTATATTTGTTAAGTTCTTGATGTAAAATAAACTTTATTTTCAATTTATATTAACATTTAGTTAATATGGATGATGATGATATGATAAATATATGGTGGCGTAAATTGTTATAGTTCAAATGTTAGCTATGAATGACGTTACTATCTTAGATGAGTAAAGTTAAATATTATTGAGGCTTTTTCGAAACTACATTAACTTCAAAATTATTTTGTAACCGAACTATATTGAGACATACTCAAATCAATTGCTGAATTATTGTTATAATATATTATTTATTTTTAATTCATTCATGCTATTCGGGATTTTTTATAATTATATTTTATAGTTTTATGCTTCATTGTATTTTTATTAGTTAATTGGTGTATCTGAAACTTTAGTACATTAGTAATATTGTTTTTTTTTTCAAAAGTGCAGAGCATAAAAATGTACCTTGTGTTTGAGCAATTAATTAGACGCATAAGGATATTTTATATTTTTACAATAGGTAAATTAAACATACCTTTGAATCCAGAGAAAAATTTATGACTTATTGAGAATATTATAGAGACTTGACGAATTTTTCGTCTGCATAGTCACAAATGACAGTAAATTCCTGAATTCTATGAGTATAGATGTAATAATGTATTCGCACTTTTCATATTTTTCAATTTTACAAGTTAGTGTCTGAGACCATCAGTCTAAGAACTTAACCCTACCTGATGTAATCGTACATCTCAAATATTTTAATGAAGTATATTTCAATCTCAAATATTTTAATGAAGCAAATGTTTGACCATCAATTTGAGTTCAGTACCATCAGTACCAGACTCATGTTTTTTATATATCAAATTAATAATAGTGTTCAATAAATTGACAAATAAACATTATTTTTTGTGTGTTGTCGTTATCATTACAAATAATGACAGTTTACACCAGTTTTGATAAAAGAATGTGTAATTTATTAATTGAATGAAACGGCAAAAGACGCAGTTACAAAAATTTAGAGTCTCAATAAATTGATATTGTAACATTCTATATTTAATTAATATTAGTCATGTAACAATTATTATTTTAACAAACATTTCGTAATATATTTACAAACATTCGAAATGTATTTACAAAACATTCGTAATATATTTACAAACATTCGAAATGTATTTACAAAATATTCGTAATCTATTTACAAAATTCGCTGTACGTAAATATTTTGTCAACAACACACGAGAATACGCGTGACGTCACCAAAAGTGAAAGTTTACACATACCACTATGAGCATAGGGTCCTACGCGGAAGCAAGATGCAGCATACACACTAGCGCAGGTACAACAAGGATAGAAGATTCTACTACGACTACGCACGATCCCGTTAGACCTCAGGCGCAAAGACAGAAAGGGACGAAGAACTTGTGCAAACCGTGTCATCTGTGTAAGCAAGCGATAAGATGCCTTAATCCATGAGCAAAGCTAAGTAAAAGGAAGATAAAAGATAGCTCGATACGACTTTTGCCCTGTGACTCAAGCGAGGGTGTGAGGAAGATAATCATATATACACATTCGACGTCACCGAAGGAGAAATTTGTCTTAGCCAATTATCGATGACCTCAAGCGAGATGAGTTCATCATAGACCAATGACCGTCTCATCCCCCGAAGATTTTGGCGAGATGAACCGACGACGACCTCCGAAAGGATACGAAGGAACCACCACCCTCGCCAAGAAATCAACCCCACTACAGGAGTAGGAGAAGCTCAATTAGTATATAAGGTCATAGAAAATTAAGAAATTTGTCAAAAAGTGTTTAGTCGCGTTTGCCCTAATACCTTAAGGACTTGTTCTGACTGCATCAGCAAACTTAACAAGTTGACTTAAGATATTAGTATTGTTTTGTTAAGATTAATAAAAACGGTTGAAAAGTTATTAAGTGTAGATACATTTAATACTTTTCTAGTGATTTTGAATGCAGAAGCATTTAAATAATTTTGGACTTAGTGATTTTGAATGCAGAAGCATTTAAATAATTTTGGACTTAGTGATTTTGAATGCAGAAGCATTTAAATAATTTCGGACTTAGTGAAATTGAATGCAGAAGCATTTAATAACTTTTTTGAACTTTGTGAATTAAATGCGGAGGCATTTAATTAGAAAGCTGTGTAAACTCTTAGTGTAATAAAGTAACTCTGACTTTGTTAATTTTACTCCCTGTGTACGCGTAGCATAGTTTGACTTAGTGACTATATATATTTATATCTGTTCTTTCCGTATTCTGTACCTACACACCCAAAAATAAAGTGACGGTAGTGTTGAAATTTGTGTTCATTCATTGATTCTAACCCTACCCCATTACAAACTGGCGCCCAACCGAGTGGCCAGAAACGGAAAAATGGCAGTTACCATGTCAGAAGAGATGTTGCAGCGACTGATCGGAGTGATAAGCACACAAAACACACGGACGGACTTGGTGTCTGGCAGCTTTGCCAGGTGCACGGCCAGGTTCAACGGAACGCGGGTTCCTGAAAAGGTGAAAGATTTCACAACTACCATCGTCTTGTACAAAGACGTGGAGGGCATCTCGGATGAGAATGCGCTAAAGGGGCTACCACTACTTCTCGAGGACACGGCGGCTACGTGGTGGGAAGGTGTGAAGTCGGAGGCCAATACGTTCGACGAGGCGATTCACTTAATAAAGACGTCGTTTGCCCCAAGTAAACCCCCGCACAGCGTCTATATAGACTTTTTCGGCACTCGTCAAGAAAAGAAGGTGAGTACCGACTTATTCGTTTGCCAAAAGAGGGCACTGCTGGCGCAGTTGCCATACGATATCGCAACAGATATACAGCTTGATATGCTTTACGGACTACTGCATATGCGGATCCGTGAACGCATCCCACGGACAACGGTCAACACATTTGACGAACTGCTTCAAAGAGCTCGCGATGTGGAAGCTAACCTTTCCGAGGCAGAACAGGGAGAGAGTAATCCGGCGGGAAGACGGAAAACCTGTTCTTTTTGCGGCCACACTGGACACACGGTCACGGAATGTCGCAAGCGCCAAGGGACCAAGCAGACTCCTAAGAAGGAGGAGCCAGAAACTCGCAGCGAAGCGAGAATTTACTGCTATGGATGCGGCAAGGCAGGGGTTATCCGCAGCAAGTGTCCGGTCTGCTCTCCCCCAACAACCGCACAGACAGCAACAACGCAAAGAGTCGGATTCTTCAGCCTGACCACGCAAGAGCCAGGAAAATGCAGCTACTGCAAGAAGAACGGGCACTTAAAAGAATTCTGCCCTAGACGCCTGGCCTGGGTAAAGAAGCGTGATCTAAAATGGAACCGCCAACCAGGAGGAACTGCGGCTCAAGATCCTTGCTCCAGGCCCGTTATTAAAGCACAAATCCAAGGCGTAATGGGTTACGCACTTGTGGACACCGGCGCAGAAAAGAGCATCGCGGGAGAGACTCTATACAAATTACTGCAGTCAACGAACCATCAATTTGAACCGTCAATGATGACAATGACGATGGCTGATGGAGAGTCGAAGCTTCGACCCATATTAAAGACAACGACCATTGTGCGGCTGGAAGGCAGACCAGTGCCAACGGAATTTGTTGTGATTCCGGAAGCAAAGGGAAACTACAGCCTGCTAGGCATGGATTTCTTGCACAAGGCCGGTCTTGTGCTAGACATAAAGCACCGCATGTGGAATTTTTGGGACCAGGCACAAAAGTACCCTTTCGCAGCAGAGGATGAAATTTTCGGGACAGTCGAAGTAACACGGTCAGCAGAGCATGTTAACGAGGCTGCCATGAGCGTACCGGTACCAACACAAGAAGAAATGGACACGGATGAAACGGATGATAGACAGGAATTAGACGCGCTGTTCGATGCCTGTTTTCGCTCAGCTACGCCAACGGAGAAGAAGGACGAACAGCACACTTTGGACGCGCTGTTCGACACCTGTTTTCGCTCGGCTACGATCATCCCTACAGTTCACATAGCCTCTCTGAGCGCCAAGGAACTGAGTCTGCGCGAAAATGAGGGACATCCAGTTCCAGAAGAAGATCGATGGAAGGTGCAGCAGCTACTCTCCAAGAACGGTGATCTCTTCAAGGAAGCAGAAGGCCCGTGTAACCACGCCGAACACTATATCTTTACAGGAGATCATGCACCCATCGCAGTCCCACCGTACCGGTTATCACCTGCCAAACGCATGGCATTAAAAACTGAACTAGACGAGATGATCAGGCAGGATATCGTCGAGGAGTGCGATTCCCCGTGGGCAGCTCCGGTGGTAATGGTGCCAAAGAAGGATGGCGGCACTAGAGTTTGCGTGGACTACCGTAAACTCAACGCCATTACGACAGCAGACAGTTATCCTCTACCACGAATCGACGACCTGTTACATCTGACCAACCGAGCCAAGGTCATGTCGACCATAGACCTCAAGTCGGGGTACTGGCAAGTCTCCGTAAGGCCAGAGGACAGAGACAAGACGGCATTTGTGACTCCTTTTGGATTATACCGATTTAAAAGAATGCCGTTCGGGCTGAAGAACGCACCAGCGACCTTCCAACGCCTCATGGACCGTCTCCGTTCCAGCCTACCCGACATACCAATTTTAAGCTATCTGGACGACTTAATAGTGTTATCAGAAGACTGGATTCAACACCTCCATCATCTAGACTACTTGTTCACGAAGATTCGGGCACTTAATCTTCGAATGAATCGTGAAAAATGTCGGTTCTTCTGTACCGAAGTGAAGTACTTAGGACATATAGTGACGCCCGAGGGAATTCAGACGGATCCAGAGAAAGTCGCGGCTATTGTAGAAATGAAACCACCCAGGAACGTTAAGGAATTACTGACCTTTCTACAGACCTGCTCGTGGTATAGGCGATTCGTACCTGACTTTGCAAAAGTATCCCAACCTCTGAGCCAGCTAACGAAGAAAAATATCGATTGGAAGTGGGGACAGGACCAGGACAACGCTTTTCGGCACCTCAAGGAAGCATTAATGACGAGCCCTATCCTGAGGCAGGCAGACGAGACGAAACCGTACATCCTGCGAACCGACGCAAGCAGCTACGCTCTAGGGGGAGTATTACTACAAGGAGAAGGCGCCGACGAAAGGCCGGTAGAGTATGCAAGTCGCCTATTGACTCCGGCTGAAAGGAATTACAGCACCACGGAACGCGAAGCACTGGCGGTGGTATGGGCCGTTAACAAGTTCCGTGGGTACATCGAAGGGGCCAAGATAACGGTAGCCACAGATCACAGGCCTCTAAAATGGTTAATGACCCTACAATCGCCCAGCGGTCGACTGGCGCGATGGGCATTACTACTGCAGCAGTACAACCTGCAAATTGACTACACCCCGGGAAGGATTAACGTAGTAGCAGACACGTTGTCACGACCGAACATCGAAAATCAAGAAGTAACATCCGCACGGATTGGATTGGTTTCAATCAATTACCCAAGCAGAAGTGCGGCTGAAACAAGACGGGGTCAATTTGAGGACAGTAAATTGCAAGAAATAATCAATGCGTTTGAAACGACCGAAGACCGGCAGGACTACCAAAGGTGGACAGAACGAGGATACCTAATGTATCAAGGGGTATTATACAGGTACAATCCAGACTCTGACGCGGAGGAACCACAGCTGGTAGTCCCGGCACAGGAAGTTAAAGACATTCTGCACGAATACCACAACGCCTCAACTGCAGGACACACTGGTATTGAACGTACAATAGGACGAATCAGCCAAAGGTACTATTGGTCAAGCATGCGACGCGACGTGACGGCTCACTTAAAGGATTGCGTGGAGTGCCAGCGGTACAAAGCCACGAATCAGAAGCCGGCGGGATTGATACAGACACCGCCGCTACAACAAAGGTTTGAAGTCATCGCCATAGACCTATTTGGACCTCTACCAGCGTCGGAAGAAGACCTGAAATGGATATTCATCGTCGAAGACCCAACGACCAGATGGGTGGAGCTCTTCGCACTGAAAAATGCAACAGCTCAAGAATGTGCGAAAACACTAGTGGATGAAGTTTTCTTGCGGTTCGGGTTCCCAAGAAGGCTTATCAGTGACAACGGATCTCAGTTTGTGAGTGCAGTCATGCAGCATACGACGCACTGCCTAGGGATCAAACAGCACCTTATTCCGGTGTACCACCCACAAGCTAATCCAGTGGAGAGACGCAACCGCGATCTAAAACCTCAACTAGCCATCTTAGTGGGTGAGAAACACACGACTTGGCCAGGGAAGTTACCTGCGATAAGATTCGCGATGAACTCAGCCATATGCAAGAGTACGGGGTATACCCCGGCATACTTAAATCTGGCGCGCGAACTTCGAACAACAGACGATGTCTACAGAGATCTCAGGGCGATCATCGAGAAAGAAAACCCCATACCAGACATCACACCGTATCTACTTAAGATGGCTGACACTTTCAAACAGGTACGAGAGACCCAAGAAAAGCAGCAAGATATGAGAAAGAAATATGCGGACAAAGAACGGCGGTCTGGTCAAACATACAGTCCAGGAGACAGAGTATGGGTAGCCACGCATACACTGAGCAACGCGAAGAGAGGTTTCACGTCAAAACTCGCTCCACGACGCGACGGACCGTATATCATATTACAACAGAGAGGACCTACCAGCTATGAAGTAGGACGCCCTGATAATACAGACGAAATCATAGGCACATTCCACACATCTGCACTATCACCTTTCTTAGGTAATGAAAACATCATACCTGTGATTCCGATAAGAAAGCGCGGTCGACCCAAGAAGAGGACTACGACCCAATAGAATGTTTTATGTATGGACTCTCCGCCGGGACGACTGTAGGTCCATAGGGGGAGTCTGTAACATTCTATATTTAATTAATATTAGTCATGTAACAATTATTATTTTAACAAACATTTCGTAATATATTTACAAAACATTCGTAATATATTTACAAACATTCGAAATGTATTTACAAAATATTCGTAATCTATTTACAAAATTCGCTGTACGTAAATATTTTGTCAACAACACACGAGAATACGCGTGACGTCACCAAAGTGAAAGTTTACACATACCACTATGAGCATAGGGTCCTACGCGGAAGCAAGATGCAGCATACACACTAGCGCAGGTACAACAAGGATAGAAGATGCTACTACGACTACGCACGATCCCGTTAGACCTCAGGCGTAAAGACAGAAAGGGACGAAGAACTTGTGCAAACCGTGTCATCTGTGTAAGCAAGCGATAAGATGCCTTAATCCATGAGCAAAGCTAAGTAAAAGGAAGATAAAAGATAGCTCGATACGACTTTTGCCCTGTGACTCAAGCGAGGGTGTGAGGAAGATAATCATATATACACATTCGACGTCACCGAAGGAGAAATTTGTCTTAGCCAATTATCGATGACCTCAAGCGAGATGAGTTCATCATAGACCAATGACCGTCTCATCCCCCGAAGATTTTGGCGAGATGAACCGACGACGACCTCCGAAAGGATACGAAGGAACCACCACCCTCGCCAAGAAATCAACCCCACTACAGGAGTAGGAGAAGCTCAATTAGTATATAAGGTCATAGAAAATTAAGAAATTTGTCAAAAAGTGTTTAGTCGCGTTTGCCCTAATACCTTAAGGACTTGTTCTGACTGCATCAGCAAACTTAACAAGTTGACTTAAGATATTAGTATTGTTTTGTTAAGATTAATAAAAACGGTTGAAAAGTTATTAAGTGTAGATACATTTAATACTTTTCTAGTGATTTTGAATGCAGAAGCATTTAAATAATTTTGGACTTAGTGATTTTGAATGCAGAAGCATTTAAATAATTTTGGACTTAGTGATTTTGAATGCAGAAGCATTTAAATAATTTCGGACTTAGTGAAATTGAATGCAGAAGCATTTAATAACTTTTTTGAACTTTGTGAATTAAATGCGGAGGCATTTAATTAGAAAGCTGTGTAAACTCTTAGTGTAATAAAGTAACTCTGACTTTGTTAATTTTACTCCCTGTGTACGCGTAGCATAGTTTGACTTAGTGACTATATATATTTATATCTGTTCTTTCCGTATTCTGTACCTACACACCCAAAAATAAAGTGACGGTAGTGTTGAAATTTGTGTTCATTCATTGATTCTAACCCTACCCCATTACAATATGAGATATTTATTGAGAATCTTTGTCATATCGATTTTCTTCAAAATTAGTATCAACGGGGATGAAATTAAATATTACGTTTATTTCTAATAGTGAGGATACGAAGTTAGTTAATAAAGCTATATGATATATATAATATACTATATACTACATGATATATGTTAGTGCAATTCAATATTAGCTGTTATTGTAGACTTATACAAAATTGTATAAGTAAATTATGGCAGCATGAATTAAATAGAAATTAAATAAAGAATTAATTAGATTATTTCAATGTACACACACATGCACACACACATATATATATATATATACACACACACACACACATATATATATATATATATATATATATATATATGAGTGGAAGTATTTACATATATATAAACCTACCTTGGGGTAATTCTCCAAACTGAAACCTATGGCTTCTAAACACATAGTAGCAGCAGCAAATTGAATATCACCAAGAGTTAGGTCATCACCAGCGCTGTATTTTTTTCCCAATCTGCCTAAAAATAAAAAAAATAATAATATCAATAATTATCTAAACTAAAATATTAAATTTCAAACACTTACTCAAATATTCTTCAAAGCATCTAAGTCCAATATGCACTTTCTTCAATCCGAGTGCAGTTCGTTCGTATCCAAAGAATATTGGTGCCATCTGAATGGACAGATGAGATATATCAGAAAAACATAGTTGTAATTTGTAGAAGATTAAACTAATGTGATAAAATAAATTGATGATAACTATTCATTTTAAATTTGAACGTTTTTCTATTAGATAAATAAAAAATGTATACAGGTTTATCATGTGGTGGCAAATTTTCTTGTACAAGTATGGTTTATGTAATTCTATAAAAATAAAAATAATACTCCATCACAATAATAGATAAATATAGATTTGCCAGTGCTCAATATAGGCTGCACAGCAAATATCCTATACTTTTTTAGTACAATCAATTGATGTCTAATCAAGTTTAAAACTAATAACCAATTTTGCCAAATAACATTTACCATCAATTTCTAATAAATTAAAAATTGAATTGAGCATCGAAATAGTTGCTCTTGAAAGGATTTAGTTAATACGTTCCAAAAGTTATATTGAGTAAAAAATACAGATAATAAGCCGTAAAAAATTAATATACTCACAACATACTCCATGATATATTTATAATATGTAGATAAGTTGAATGATAGTCTGTGATTGACCAATGCTCTGGCTTGTGGATCTTTTGGATACAGGGAACTCTCTGGACGATATTTGTCACAAAGATACTAAAAGATTAATATATTATATACAAAAATCACAATATATAATAACTCAAATCACAAAATTAGTATAATTAATATTAATTAATATTAATAAATATTGATAAATAATATTGGATTTATTAGGATTCACCTGCATAATAGCATTGCTTTCGCTCAAAAAGAAGCCATTGTCATCCAAGACAGGAATTTCCTTTTGTGGATTTTTCTATAAAAAAATATATGATTTACTTAATATAAATTTACATGTACTTTAAATATTACCATTGGGAATTATTAATAATTACCCTGTCATATTCTTCAGTCATATGTGCTCCCGCAGCAAAATCTACTTCGACCAGTTCAAATGGAATGTCCAAGGCCTTCAGGGTCATTCGAACGGCCAAACTTGGAGGTCCATCTGACACGCTGTATAGTTTAAGACCCATTTTGCTAAAAAAAAGGAAAATTGTAAATTTAACAAATTATATTTTTAAACAAATTTTATTTTATTAATATCTTACAGTAATAAATGAACGGTATACAAAAATTAAGTAATTCATCGTTCATGCAAATTTCAAATATTATTTGTTACTAATATGAAAATCTCATGAGTAGTGCCTATAGGAGCCAGCTCTATAGCAATTTTTTTTAATATTTTTATATGCTACATTTCACATGATCTATACACATAATTAAGTTGTATTCAATCTTTAAAAATAGATAACTCTGCATTGGTATAAAATCTAATACCAATAAATGTTTAAGTATTCAAATGGCATTTGCAGACTTTGATTTTGTTTATTATATAAATGGTATAGAATTTTAATGTATGTTTTACGGATTGCAAAATGACAATCGACGGTTTTCTTTTCCAATAGTGATTATATCCAAAAAAAACTATTTTCATTTTAAATCATATTTAAATCTATTTTGTTTGAACTACATTTTTTGGATATAACTACTGATTGATATCAGGATGGCCGAGGCGCAAATTTAAAAAATATATATGATATATTATTATAATTATGACAAATTTAATTATTATTATTATATTAATAATACCAATTACCCTTGTCAAAATGTACCGTAATCGTTTACTATGCTTTTACTGCACATAAAATTTTGGGTTTCATTTCATTAAATAATAATTGTAATTATTTTAATGTTTTTATTCCAATGATAAATGAAGTTAACAATTTGTGAAGTAACAATGTATAAAATAATAAGCCAGGGTCAAAATTATTAATTATTAATAAACATTGGTATGCATTTGTGTAAACCATTAATAAATTTATAATTATTATTGGTTTACACATTTACCTACCAATGTTTGTTAGTAATTGATAATTTGGACCTTGGCTTATTATTTTATGCATTATTTCAATATTACTTCATAAATTGTTAATTTTATTTATTATTGGAATATATATATTAAAATAATTACAATTTTTAATTGAAAGTATGAATATTTCATGTATTCGTTAGATATATATTCATGTAAAGTTTATTTTTAATTTTTACCTTTGTAATCAATCTTTACAGTTACTGTTTGAAAAATATGATAAAAATATTCAAAATGTACAATGTTTAAAAAATCTATCTAAATCTAATCCAAGTCTTTTATTTAGCAAGACGAGTCACAATTTTAACCGGCAAATCGCTAAAAACTTTCACCGGATATAAAGTAACACATTCAAATATATAAATTTAGATCAGTTTCCAATACATCTTCTGCAGTACTTCTATATTATTCGATTATTGCAGATAAAAATAACCATATTAAAACCAAATATTGTCTCAGATTAAACAAGATATAATATATTATGTGTATTTTACTTATTTGTATTCCCATGATTGCATTAACATTTTGGACTTACATTCGGTAAGCAACAAAAGAAAAATTTGAAAAAAAATCACTTGATTTATTATATTACGTTGAAAAATTACTTGATAGTATAAATTCTATTTATTAACCGGCACAATTTTATATATTTCTTACCTTTTAGCACACAATTCACAACAAATACTGAATGAAAGTATTCAACACACAAATTCAATGTCATCCGCTTGTGTTACGACTACATCAAAAATTGCAGAGATACTGAACCTTAATATGATACTTAATTATAATTATAAACTAATTGTTCTACAAACATATTATTTGAACACAGGTTCTATAAACATTATATTTGAATACGAGGTTAGCAAAAACTAATGGTGTGAGATATTCTCACTGTAACTTATTACCAATCGTTAGAATTTAAATTTTTTAATAAATAGAATAGATAGAATAAAATTTTAAAATCAAACAATAATAATCTATTTTTTTTAATTTAAGGAAAAGATAATTATATGTATTTAAAACTCCGAACATTGCTGAAAATAAAAAAAAAATAGTTAGAAAATTATATTATTTGTTTCTACACTTAAATTAGTTACCCCACGATAAGTTTCCTTAAAGGATGTTAAATACAAAATAAAAATAATAAATATAATGATTAATCTATTTTGAGTTTTTTATCGAGTGTTTTGATTTAAAAATTTCATTTTAAGTTTTACTTGAGTCACATCCGACTAAAATTGAAATATCAATGATTTATCTATTGACTGTAATTTCTAAGGTAATTAGTTTTTCATAATTAGTTTCTTGTAATTAGTTTTTAAGAATCTATTTAACTGTAATAAATATGATTTATTTTATTAGTCTAATTGATGTTCTGTAACAAATTGAGTACATCAACATTATGAAAACTATTAAATTTTCAGTTTTTCACTTTTTTAAAAGTTACGCAAATTCAAACTTATTATATTCAAAGTTTTCATTAAATTGAAACTTTTATTTATAAATCTATTGATTTTACACCAATATAATAATTATAACGATTTTAAACAAGACGTCGCCATCGAAATTATTATGTTTTGATATTAAAAAATAACATGTTGCATTGCAAAAATTATAATGCTTTTATGTGTGTCTAAAATATGGTGAAATAATTATGAATAAAATATTAGGTAAAAAAATAGTTCAAATAAAATTAACATGGCTATTGGTTAGCACACTTATGGAATTGCATAATGCATAATGCAATTTGCATTCTTATATTAACGTTCTTTTTATATATTTCATGTTTTCAAAAAAATCTAAGTTTCCATAAAGACAAATTTTTCAATGTTAAAAATTTCAAAATGTTTTCAAAATATTCAAAAATTATCCTAAAATTTAAAAATTATCATATATTATCTTTTTTTTCAGAGATTTTAAAATTTTAAAATACAGCACGGGAAGATTCAGCAATTTGCCTTAAGGCGCGACACCATGCTAGTTTTTAGATTTTTTTCATTGCTATACTAATTTAAAAAAAATTTGGTAATGTATAAATTAATTCACTTTTTACCAACAATTTTTCACTCCTGTAGGTATATGACACATAATGAATATTGTTATACATAGGTTCGTACTATGAAAAGTGATTACTATCATATTATTTTCTAAAGCTACTTATAGATGCCACTAATTGGTACGCTCAGATTAGGTTCCTAATCCCGGTCCTAACACAATCATTCAAACAAAACCAGTTAGTCTGGCGGTGGGAGAGGTTATTTTCAATCAAAGGCATTTATTATATAGGAAAGCGTTGCCTGTGTTGAGTATCTTTCGGATTTTTGCGTATATATGTGTAGCATGAGTTGATTGAACTATTATATCTGATATTTTTATATTGATTTCCACTTATTGTCATCGGAATGAAAACAAGAGAATAATTAAAATGATTCATTAAAAAATATCATGCAAATCCATTCGCTCTTATTATCACTGCAATTAAAAATAATTTTATCAATTGCAATGCAAAATACAAAGACTATATTCTAGTATTGAATTACACATATTTATAAATTTTTGTTGATAATTGGAACAAGAAGCCAGCGCCTATGTGCACTGAGGTTTATGAGTTAAATTTACTCAACTTTAATTACATGCTTGAGAAGCTTGAATATACGACATTGAAAAATCAAATTATACATTATTTTGCTACAATAATTATATTGTAATATACAAATCTTGTACTAAATTGTATACCTTTATTTCCTTATTTTTTATATGCCAATACTTTTGAAGAGTAATATATAGTAATTGCAAAAAAATTGAAAATAAACATTTTAGCAAAACAATATGAAATGTTAGTGAATATTTTGGCAAATCGGTGTGCATGCTTTGTTGAAATTCAGTTTGACGATTGTTGACCATTTCGAGAGCATTGATTAATCGATTTGAATGATTGAAAAATTATTTAATTTTTATTTTAATATGTATCCTTACTTTGTGCTGATAAATATTATTTTTGACAAAGACAAGTCTAGCAATTTTGGAGATATGGGGCATAAATTGCAAAAAATTAAAATTCAGTTTTTGCGAGAACGGCATCCAATTAGATTGGATGGTTAAAATAATATTCTATTTGTATTGACAGTAAGATGCGCTGTTATCAAATTTTAGCAAAGACAATTCCAGCCGTTTCGGCGATACAAAACAAAGAGTGCAATAATAAAAACGAAGCATCCGATTCGAACAATTCAAATAATATTTCAGGCAGACATGTAGACTTGTGGACAGGTAGACAGGTTAAAATGTAGGTAAGTAGATTGGCAGAAAAGTAGACAAGTAAGGTGATCTAGTTCCAGGTTCGCTGGATCGATTTCCGCTACCGCCAAGCCTGACATCAGGCAACTTTGATGTCAAATTTGCACTTGAGGTCATAGATATCAAATATAGCCTCAAGTGAAAATCGCCTCTAGTGGGTATAGTTGCACATATAATAAAAGATATCAGCAAATACTTCGAGTATAGATAATTAGTCCTTATACCTAGTAGACACGCCACTGGGTGATGCTACTATCTACTGGTTTATATTGTAAGATAATCATTGTTAGCAATCTCTGCTTAATGTTGCTCATGTAAAACAGATTGCAGAATTAAAAAAAAAAGTAAGCTGACTGGTAGGCAGGGAAACAGATAAATAGGTAGACGAACATGTGAAACAAATGTGCAGGTACAAAAAAAGATAAGTTGAAAACTTAGACAAGCAGGCAGATGGACAGGTAGATCATATACGAATCAAATATTTATTCAATAAATCGATAATTTACACACACAGAAAGTTCATGCAACTTGCCGTGAAAAGAAAAATGCCACTTCCACCTAGTTTAGTTATAAAATATCAGTTATAAATATCTGCCATAATACGCGAAGCTCATTGTATACCGATTTTGATAATAAATTTCAAAAAATGCCAACTTGCAATCTATTTATGGATAATTTTAATTTAATATTATAATTTTATATAAAATTATTCATGATTATGAATAACAAAAATGTAATATTTATAATATTATTGACGAAAACCAACTGAGATGTGCCAGAAATTAAAATAATATGAGATACAATATATGGT